ATTATATATTATATTTATATTTATATTTATTTTTAATTTTATCGATATTTATTCATTTAACATTCTATTTAATTATAACTAATATACAAAATTGGAATATAATTTATCCCAAAATATTAGTTTCTTGATTCCATTACTATTGTCAAATATTTATTTGCTATAATAATATTATTTTATACATTCCGAAATCGGGGCATTACAAACTATTATTTACAACAAATGTCAAACTGAATTACTGATATTTGGTTTTAAATAAAAATATAAATTACACAAATTTTATATAAATAAAAAAGTAAAATATATTAAATAAATTTTTATGAATAAAATAAATAAATAATTGATTAATCTTTATTTTATAATTTTTTGGAAACAAATAACAATTTGTTTCCAAAAAATTATAAAAATAAATGATAGATCAATTATTTATTTATTTATTTTACTCAAAAAAAAAATTATTTAAGATATTTTAATTTTTTATTTGTATAAAATTTGCATAATTTAGATACTTGTTTAGAACCAAATATCAATTTTGACAAGAAGGGCGTTTCGTGCAAACTTTATATTAACACAAGAGAATTTCACGCAATAAATAAAATGCGAAGTATTTTATACATTTTTACTAAAACACAATGGGGTGTTATACAATTTATCCTAAAAAATATATGTTCCCGTATGATAGGTTGATTATGTGTGTATTATGTGATATTTTCAGATAAAAAATAATAATAATATTGATATAAAACATGATTGAATTAATATTTTTTTTATTAATTTTAAAATTCAAATAAAATTGATTAAGAAAAATATTAAAAAAAAAAAAAAAGGAATTAATTGAAGAAGTATAAAAATTGAAGAGAAATCTATTAATTTCAACACTGCAACCCCTTCCAGCCTTTATATTAATGATGCAATAATTATTAGTTATATTGTTTCACTTTGTCGAGGGAGAATGCAACAAAGATTGCGACAATAAATATTTACATTGTTGTGTATATCGTTGCCAAAGGTTGCGATAATTAATACATATATCGTTGCAAAATGTTGCTCAAAAATTACCATGCCGCTTATGCATACTTGCTTCTACACTATATTTGATAACTTAAATTCGCTGAATTGGGCTGTATTTAGATAGCATTTTCAGTCGATTTTGAAATATAAATTGGATCCACTTTGAAAATATATTAAATATTAGAATATAATTATATTGTTGTACAAGACACATACATTGACAATACATATATGCGTACTATAATTTCATTGACTTGATGATAGATGATGTAATTGCTATATATAGTTGTTGTTTGTCAAAATAAAAGACACTCAACTTTGTTTGCATTTTTTTGTTCACTCTCGTTACTATAATTCCCCAACATCAACTCATCATTGCCATCTTACATATATATATATATATATATGTATTGCATATTAATATATAATATTGTTTGTACCTGCCGCATATACATATATACACTAAATATATTATAATATTATTAATATTATACAAAATAGTGATTAATTAACAAATAAGTAACATAGTGCTTTAATCATACGAGAAACAAAAGCACTAACTGGAATTCTAGTACACAAGGTATAATCTGACAAAGTGTTATATAAAAAAGTGCTATATATTACAGTGCTTTTCGTATAATTAATATTCTTATTTGTTATTTCTATATTATATTTACAACACATTATCAGCACGATCCGCTTTTCCGGCACGGTAGGTATATTTCAATATTATTATGGCTACTAACATTACAAAACAGGAATTCGTCTCACTTGTCATTTCTGGCAAAAATTATCTGTCGTGGGCCATGAATGTTGAAATGCATTTGAAATCGATGGGCCTGGGTGAAACGATTGTGAGAGGCAATAATGACACCAATCAAAGCCGAGTAAATGTAATGATATTCCTCCGACGTCATATCGACGAAGGGCTGAAAATGAAATATCTCACAGTCAAGAATCCTCTTGACTTGTGGAATAAATTAAAAGAAAGATACAATTACCTAAAGTTGATCGTACTGACAAAAGCCCGCAGCGAATGGCACAATTTGAGGTTGCAAGACTTCAAATCGGTCACTGAATATAATTCCGCCATGTTCAGGATCACTTCACAGTTGAACCTATGCGGAGATAATATTAATGACAGTGACATGATGGAGAAAACATTATCCACATTCTATGCCTCAAACCTGCTTTAACAACAACAGTATCGAGAGAGCGGCTTCAGAACATATTTAGATCTTATTGTTTGTCTTTTGTTAGCAGAGCAAAACAACCAATAGTTGTTGAAAAATCATGCATCCAGGCCAACAGGTTCCAGCCCATTCTCTGAAGCGAATGCAGTACAGTCTGCAGATCCAAACTGTGGAAACAACAAAGGCCGAAGATATGGCAGAGGCAAAAAACACGATCTTATTCATCTTGATACAACAGACTTCCTTGAGCACCCTGAAGGTGTCAAGTGATCATGTAGTTCACTGTTTTATTACTTTTTATACCCCCTTTACTTTTTGTAATACCACTCTTTTTGTATCATTTTGTATTTCATAGGCTATATTAATATATTGTCTTTTTTTTTGTTTTATTCTGAAAAGAATATGGATGATATGTGCCAAAAATATTATAAAGAGGACAATATTTGTCTAATTGATAATGCAACCACACACATGATATTGAAATACAAAAAGTATTTCTCCCACCTGAAATTGGGAAAATCAAAAGTCAGCACAATAAGTGGTAGTGTAACAATTGAAGGCTCCGGAAGAACCCGTATATGTTTCCTGGAAGGAATCAAACTTGAAATACAAAATGCACTGTTCTTAGGTAAAACTCGAAGAAATTTGTTGAGGTTCAATGATGTTTGTAGAAACGGATATCATGTTGAAACAATGAACAAGGTGAATGATGAATATTTGGTGATTACAAAAATCATCAATAGAAATAAGTGTGCAATTGCGAAATTGCCCTCATTGTCCTCTGGCATGTATTATGCCAAAATAAGTGTCATTGAAACATATGCAGTAGACCTGAAGTCTACGCAATCAAATGAATTTTTATTTGGCACGACCGGCTTGGGCATCCTGGAAACACCAAAATGAGGTGAATAATCAAAAACTCCATTGGTCATTCATTGAAAGATCAAAAGATCTTGAATTCGAATGAATTTGCATGTGTCGCATGCTCACAAGGCAAATTAATAATCAGGCTGTCACCAACCAAAGTTGGACCTAAATTCCCATCATTTCTGGAAAAAATCCAGGGTGATATATGTGGACCTGTAGATCCACCATGTGAGCCATTTAAATATTTTATGGTGCTTATTGATGTAGCAACAAGATAGTCACACGTATGTTTGCTATCTACGCATAATATAGCGTTTGCAAGGTTACTTGCACAAATAATTAAATTTCGAGCACAATTTCCTGATTATCCAATAAAAAACTTTATCTCAATAATGCTAGTGAATATTCATCACAAGCATTAGACGATTATTGCATGACTTTGGGAATAACTTTTGAACATCCCATTCCTTACGTTCACACCCAAAATGGTCTGGCAGAATCATTTATCGAAAGACTGCAATTAATTTCAAGATCATTATTGATGAAATCCAAACTCCATTTTTACCTAGGGATATGCAATATTACATGAGCTAAACTTGTGCGAATTAGACCGACAAGTTATCAGAAATACTCCCCAACAAAATTAGTATTTAGAAAAGAGCCCAATATATCTCATTTGAGGATTTTTGGATGTGCGGTTTACGTGCCAATTGCACCACCTCAAGGTACAAAAATGGGCCCCCAACGTCGTTTGGGAATTTATGTTGGGTACGAATCACCGTCAATAATTAAATACTTGGAACCAGTGACGGGTGATCTGTTTACTGTGCGATTCGCAGATTGTCATTTTGACAAAACAAATTTCTCGACATTAGGGCGAGAACAGAATCAACTGAAAAAAAAAAAAAAAAGAAATTTCTTGGAAAATACCTATGAATTTCCTTGATCTTTGTTCACAACAATGTGCATTTGAAACACAAAGAATTTTACACTTGCAACAAATTGCAAATCAGTTACCGGATGCATTTAATGACTTCAACAGAGTCACCAAGTCATATATTTCCGCAGCAAATGCTCTGACAAAATTAAATGTCCCAGGAGGAAAATGAAAAGTGTCAATGAATCTTCTACGCGCCTGAAGCGTGGCAAACCTATAGGTTCCAAGGATAAGAATCCCCGAAGAAAAAAAGTATTGATTATCCCTCAAACAACTTGTAGTGACAAAGAACAAATCCTTGAAGAGGATGCTCCTGAAAAATCTACCTCTGAACAAAATAAAGTTATCGAGAATTCAATTAATTTCATTACTACAAAGAAAAATTGGAACCGCAATGAAATAGTCATTGATAATACTTTTGCATAAAACATGGCACTTGACATAATGGAAAATGATGAGGATCCTGAACCAACATCAATTGATAAATGTCGGAAAAGAAACGATTAACCAAATTGGAAAGATGCGATCCAGTCTGAACTAGACTCACTGGCAAAAAACAAATGTCTTTGGACCTATAATTCAAACACTATAAGATGTTAAGCCAGTTGGGTGCAAATAGGTATTTGTGAGAAAAATGAATGAAGACAGCTTGTAGCCCAAGGGTTCTCACAAGTACCTGGATTGATTATGATGAAACATATTTTCCAGTTATGAATGATATGACATTTAGATACCTCGTAAGCCTAACAGTACATGAAAAACTTGATATGCACCTTATGGACGTAGTCACTGCTTACTTGTATCGTTCATTTGAATGATATTTACATGAAAATCCCTGAAGGATATAATATGCCTAAAGCATGCAAATAAAATTCCAGAGAACGTTATTCCATCAAAGTACAAAATTCTTTGTATGGACTTAAACAGTCTAGACGCATGCGGTATAACCATCTCACTGAGTGTTTAACCAAATAAGGTTACACTAACGACCCAATATGTCCATGTATTTTCACAAAGAGAATGGGTCAAAATTCATGATCATTGAAGTATATGTCGATGATCTCAATATCATTGGAACTCCTGAAGAGCTCCAATCAGCCGTAGAATATCTGAAAAGGGAATTTGAGACAAAGTTCTGCCTTGCTCTGCAAATTGAATATGTGGATAATGGAATATTCATCTACCAAATGGCCTATACCTTGAAGGTATTGAAGTGATTTTATATGGATAAAGCACATTCATTGAGTACTTCAATGATCGTCAGGTCACTTGATCCGAACAAGGATCCATTTAGACAGCAAGAAGATGATGAAGAGATATTTGTTCCTGAAGTACCATATCTCAGTGCAATATGTGCACTCATGTACCTAGCAAATTACACAAGACCAGATATTACATTCGCAGTAAATTTATTGGCCAAATTCAGTTCATCTCCTACAAAACGACATTGGAATTGGGTTAAGCATGTTTTGGGCTATCTTTAAGGGACAAATGATCTTGGCCTATTATACCTGAATGATTCTCGACACGAGTTATTAGGCTATGCTGATGCTGGGTATTTGTCTGGCCTGCATAAAGTAAAATTGCGAACTGGCTACACATTTACATGTGGCAATACTGTGGTCTCGTGGAGATCCACAAAACAGACAATACCACCACATCATCAAATCATGCCGAAGCATTGGCTATTCATGAAGCCAACCGAGAATGTGTATGGTTGAGTTCAATGATCCATCATATTCAAACGAATTGTGGGTTAATGTCTGAAAATAAAAATCCCCCAACAAATATATATGAGGACAATGCAGCTTGTATTGCTCAGTTAAATGGTGGATACATCAAATAAAATAGAACAAAACACATTACCACAAAATTTTTCTTTACTCACAACCTGCAAAAGAATGGTGAAATCGATGTGCAATAAATCCGATCATCTGATAATTTTGCAAATGTATCAACCAAGGCCCTACCGATAACAACATTCAATAAATTGATGAAAGAAATTAGAATGTGTCGGATTAAAGATCTGAAGTAAAATCCAAATCAGGGGTAGCAAATCAATACAAGAATGATATACTTTTTTCCTTCACTATGATTTTTTCCCACGGGCTTTTTTCATAGTAAGATTTTAATGAGACACATTCTTTGTATAAAAGCATCCAAGAAGAAGTATTGTACAATGCACATACGTGGACAACACATATATGTTGTGTGGAAGCAACGCGTACTATAATTTTATTTGCTTCATAAATGGGTTGTTTTTGTCCATTAATAAACGGGGTGTAATTGCTATATATAGTTGTTGTTTGTCAAAATAAAAGACACTCAACTTTGTTTGCATTTTCTCTTTCTCTCTCGTCACTATAATTTCCAAGCATCAACTCATTATTACCATCTTAATTCATACATATAAATAGACATACATACATATATAGCACATATTAATATATAATATTGTTTACACCTTCCGCATATACATATATATACACTAAATATATTATAATAATATTAATATTATACAAAATAGTAATTAACCGTAAAAATATTATATAATAATAATATAATAATAGTAAGTAGAGAAATATATATATGTGTGCAGTTTCGTGTGATATATATAACAATATATGTATGTATATGTGGGTACTATGTGCTATTATATATGTATCTAAGTATGATGCCCAATTTAATAGAGAGAGAGAGTCAGTGAGGGGGAGAGAAAGTAAGTAAAATATGTGTTTTGATTTTGTTCTCGTACAGTAATATATATAGAAGTTCCAAAGGGGTAATAAATGGCTACGGAAGTGCCAACGGAACATTACACATTATACACGAATGGAATGATAAAGCATACACATGATGTTTACGTCGACGTGATGTGTATAACACTCCCCCTTGGATGCTTTTATACAAAGAATGTGCCTCGTTAAAACTTTACTATAAAAAAACCCCGTGGGAAAAAATCATAGTGAAGGAAAAAGAGTACATCATTCTTGTATTAATGCGCACCCCTATCTGGACTTTATTTGATGTCTTTTGCCCGTCGCATTCCAATTCCTTGCACCAGTTTGTTGAATGTTGCAGTTGGTAGCGCCTTCGTAAATAAATCTACAAAATTTTCAGATGATCGAATTTGTTGCACATCAATTTCCCCACTTTTCTGAAGATCATGAGTGAAAAAGAACTTCGGAGATATGTGCTTTGTTCGATCGCCTTTAATATATCATCCCTTTAATTGGGCTATACAAGCTGCATTATCTTCAAATAATATTGTTGGAGGTAATTTATCATCGGTAATCAAGCCACAATTTTTCTGAATATGGGGAGTCATGGACCTCAACCAAACGCATTCACGACTGGCTTCATGAATTTCTAAAACCTCGGCATGGTTTGAAGAAGTAGCTGTTATTGTCTGTTTAGCAGATCTCCAAGAGATTGCGGTTCCACCACAAGTAAATAAATAGCCAGTTTGAGATTTTGCTTTGTGTGGATCAGACAGATAACCAGCATCAGCATAACCAGTTAATTTGTTTCGAGATTCACTCGAATAAAATAATCCGAGGTCATGAGTCCCCTGAAGATAACGAAAAATGTGTTTAATACCATTCTAATGGCGCTTTGTGGGGGATGCACTAAACCTGGCCAGTAGATTTACTGAAAAAAATATATCTGGCCTGGTACAATTTGCAAGGTACATTAATGCGCCAATAGCGCTGAGGTATGGTACCTCGGGCTAAGTATTTCTTCATTTTCTTCTCTTGGCCTAAATGGATCTTTACTGGAATCAAGTGATCTGACCACCATTGGTGTACTTAGAGAGTGGGATTTATCCATATAAAATTGTTTTAGTACCTTTTGGGTATATGTGGATTGATGGATAAATATTCCATTGTTCACATGATCCACCTGTAACCCCAGACAATATTTTGTCTTTCCAAAATATTTGATCTCAAATTCTTTCTTTAGATATTCAACTGCAATTTGGATCTCTTCTGAAGTTCCAATGAAATTGAGATCATCAACATATATAGCAATAATGAAAAAATTTGATCCATTTTTTTAAAAAGACGCATGGGCATATTGGATCATTAGTATAACCTTCTTTTATTAAACATTAGCTCAGACGATTATACCACATTCGCCCTGACTGTTTAAGTCCATACAATGACTTTTTCAATCTGATGGAATATGATTCCCTTGGGTTTAATTTGTATGCTTCGGGCATGTTGAATCCCTCAGGAACTTTCATATAAATATCAGTATCCAAGTAGCCATAAAGATATGCAGTGACTACGTCTAAAAGACGCATATCGAGTTTTTCTCGCACTGCTAGGCACACAAGGTATCTAAATATTATTCCATCAAGAACTAGAGAGTACGTTTCATCAAAATCTGCTTCAGGCCTTTGTGAGAATCCCTGAGCTACAAGACGAGCTTTATATCTCACAATTTCATTATGCTCATTTTTTTTCGTACAAATACCCATTTGTATCCAACTAGTTTTATACCATCTGGTGTTTGAACAATTGGTCCGAAGACCTCTCTTTTGTTTAATGAGTCAAGTTCTGATTGAATCGCATGTTCCCATTTTGGCAATCATTTCTTTGCCGACATTCATGAACCGATTTTGGCTCTGGATCCTCATTATCTTCCATTATATCAAGTGCTAAATTGTATGCGAAGGCATTATCAATAATTGCCTCTTTACGGTTCCAACATTTTCTTGAAGTAACATAGTTAATTGAGTTTTCAATAATCTCATCATGTTCTTCAAGATCGTGCTCTTCTGGAGCAATTATTTCAGGGTTGACTTCCTCGTTAGATTGAGGTTTATCAATGTCATTCCTGATATTTTCACGATTATCATCATTAATTCCTCTTTTTTTCCGAGGATGTTTGTCTTTGGAACCGAGTGGTCTACCACGCTTTAAGTGTGTCACTGATTCATTAGCACTTGTAATTTGTCCATCAGGGACAATTATTTTAGCCGGAGCATTAGCAACTTGGATATATGATCGAGTGACTTTGCTCGAGTCATTGAATGCATCCGGTAACTGATTTGCAATATTTTGCAAATGTATAATGCGTTGAACTTCTAGTTCACACTGCTTTGTACGAGGATCACAAAAATTCAATGGGATTTTCCAATTAATATCCCTTTTCGGTTCATTTTTGTCTCCCCCTAATGTCGGAAAATGTGATTCGTCAAAATGACAATCTGCAAATCTTGCAGTGAATAAATCACCCGTCATAGGTTCAAGATATTTTATAATTGACGGCGATTCATATCCGACATAAATGCCCAATCTACGTTGATGACCCATTTTTGTACGTTTGAGGGGTGGAATAGGAACATAAACAGCACACCCGAAAATACGTAGATGAGATATATTTGGTTCGTGACCAAATACTAACTGCATTGGGGAATAGCTATGATAGCTTGTCGGCCTCATTCTTATAAGTGTTCCTGCATGTAAGATTGCATGCCCCCAAGCTGAAACGGGCAACATAGACCTCATCAGTAATGGTCTAGAAATCAATTGCAATCTTTTAATAAGTGATTGCCAGGCCATTTTGTGTATGAACATGAGCAACTGGGTGCTCTACATTAATTCCAATCGACATGTAATAATCATCAAATGCATTTGATGTATATTTACCAGCATTATCCAGACGTATAGTCTTAATTGGATTATCGGGGAATTGTGCCCGTAATTTCATAATTTGGGCAAGCAATCTCGCGAATGCCATATTGCGAGTAGATAATAAACAGACATGTGACCATCTGGTAGATGCTTCAATAAGCACCATAAAATATTTAAATGGCCCACACGGTGGGTCTATTGGTCCACATATATCCCCGTGTATTCTTTTCAAAAATGTAGGTGATTCAATACCTACTTTAGCTAACGATGGCCTGGTTATCAATTTTTCCTGAGTGCAGGCAACACATGTTAACTCATTTGAGTTTAACACTTTTTGATCTTTTAATGAATGACCATGCGAATTCTCAATTATTCGCCTCATCGTTATACTGCCAGGATGCCCAAGGCGATCATGTCATATTTGAAAATCGGTAGTCTTTTGATCTACCGTGAGGTGTGTTTCAACAACACCTAGTCTGGCATAATATAAACCAGTAGAGAGTGAGGGTAATCTCTCAATGATGCATTTCCTTTTATCAATGATATTGGTGATCAATAAAAATTCAGCATCGGTATCACTCATAGTTTCAATGTGATAACCATTTTTCCGAATGTCCTGAAAGCTCAGTAAATTTCTTCGAGCTTTAGTGGCCAACAGTGCATACTGTATCACAATTTTCGTCCCCGCGGGGAGAAATATAATGGCTTCTCTAGAGCCTTCAATTAATTTTGCACTGCCACTTATTGTATTGAAATTCATTCTTTGCCTTTTCAAATGGGAGAAATATTTTTCGTGTTTCAATATAGTATGTGTCGTTGCACTATCAATGAAATACATATTTGCATCATTTTGTTTGGCATCCATTTAACCTTCAAATATAAATAAACGCAGTATTAATAAAGACAAATATAAATATTAAAAAATACATTACAAAAAGGTAATATGCGATAATTTAAATATTACCAAACATAATGTAAAATGACATAATATGTCTATCACTGGGGGTTTGCTGGATCCACGACAAAATCCGCTATATCAAGATGTGTTGTGTCGTAATCTAAAAGATCATCATCGGGGTCGTCATCGTTATCAACGTGATTAGTCTCCTCCTTCCCCTTTTTCTGCAGTAAAGCTTGATAAAGATCGGCTAGGTGTTTGGTTGTTCTACAGGTATTTGCCCAATGGCCTTTAATGCCACACCAATTACAACTGCCGATTTGCCTCTTTCCCTGTTTAGCCTTTTCGGCTATATCCCCATATTGGGGTTTACTCTGCATCCTGTTAACGTAAAAAATGCAGCAATTGTAAGGGGTATATCGACCGCGTTGATTCTCACGACCGCGACCACGTCCACGGCCTCTACCACGTCCTCGGCCTCGTTCTAGAAAATGTCACGTTCGCTTCAGGGAACAGACTGGAACCAGTGGACCGGGACTGATGATTTTTCATCAGTAACTCATTATTTTGCTCAGCTAATAAAAGATATGCAATGAGCTGTGAGTATTTTTGAAAAATTTTCTCGCGATACTGTTGTTGCAGCACAACATTAGAAGCATGAAAGGTAGAGAGAGTCTTCTCCAATTTATCATTCTCAGTAACATTTTCTCCGCAGAGTTTCAACTGAGATGTAATCTGATGGATAGCAGAGTTGTACTCTGTAACGGTTTTAAAATCCTGCAACCGCAGGTTAAGCCAATCATGTCCGGCTTTGGGGAGAGTGATATATTTCAAGTGCCCAAATCTCTCTCTCAATTCATTCCACAAATCTAGTATATCTTTCACCGTCAAATATTCAGACTGTAGAGGAATGTCCAAATGATGACGGATGAAAATAATAGCCTTAGCCCGATCTTGGCTTGTAGCCGTATTTTCACTGGCAATTGTATGAACAAGGCCCATAGAAACCAGATGCATTTCTACATCCAAGAAAGTCATAAATTTATTGCCGGTGAGAGACAAATGTTTAAAAGAAAATTTTGCAAGATTTTCCATAATTTAGAAAATAGATAATATAAATAGTATAAAAATAAAACTTACCAAAAATAAAATAGGCAAGAACCCTCGTGCTGATAACGTGTTATATAATAATAATAATATAATAATAGTAAGTAGAGAAATATATATATATGTGTGTAATAATATCATGTGATATATATAACAATATATGTATGTATATGTGGGTACTATGTGCTATTATTTATGTATGTAAGTATGATGCCCAATTTAATAGAGAGAGAGTCAGTGAGGGGGAGAGAAAGTAAGGAAAATGTGTATTTTGATTTTGTTCTCGTATAGTAATGTATATAGAAGTTACAAAGGGGTAATAAATGGCTACGGAAGTGCCAACGGAACATTACACATTATACACGAATGGAATGATAAAGCATCACATGATGTTTACGTCGACGTGATGTGTATAATAAAAAATAATTAATATTATACATATATAAACATATATTCATATATCCTATATTATTTTAATAACAAATAAATATTTTTTATATTATATAAAATTTATTATCCATACAAGAACATATATATTTATTATATTTGTATTAATATATTTTAAAAATCAAATTTAATATTGTTTTATGAAATATTAAATAAATATTTTATTTCTAATATCATTAATCACATCATTTATTATATAATATACACAACTAAAAAAATAAAAATGCAAACTTCTCTAAACGAGAATTACTTTCAAAACTTCCTCTCGTTTATATATGTGCATATTTATCATAGTTTCACTTCATCACTGTTAGAGCTGTAAAACAAACGAACAGTTTGCGAGCTCGACTCGGTTCGGCTCGTTTGAGTTCGCTAAGAGCTTGTTCGTTAAGCTAAACGAGCCGAACACGAACATAAATTTTGGCTCGTTATGTTCACGAACGAGCTCAAGCTTGTTCGCGAACGTTTGATAGTATTTATTAAAAGAATTAAATTGATAATTTTATATTTAATAAGTATATATATCTTTATAAATATTATATTTCATTATATTTTTTATTCAAATTTATTAATAAAAATTATAATTATTATTAACTAAATATAAATTTTTTAAAAAAAATTAAATAAATAAAATAAAATTTCTCTTAACGAGCCGAATCGAGCCGAACACGAACAAAAAAATTGTTAAACAAGCCGAGCTCAAACAAAAATTTCAGCTTGTATATCTTAACGAACGAATACGAGTATATCTTAACGAACAAATACGAGCCGAGCTCAAATCCAGGCTCTATTCAGCTCGTTTACAACAATAATCACCGTACAATTGAAATATTTGTGGCTAACAAAAACAACTCACAACTTCAAATACTTCAACCACATTGTACTTAATTTGATTCTCAAATTTCCATGGCATGATTAAGCTCGACAACTTCAAATTCGTTTTGCTTTTTTTTTCTTCAAAGAGAAAAGATTATAGACAATTTCACTCAATTAATACACACACAACACAAACACAAGACTGAAAAATGTTTCATCAACTTTCCAACACATCCGTACGTATGAACGAACACAAGAAGCAGCTATCATCCTAAGAAAATCCGCCCTTTTCGTCGACAAAACACCGAAAGCCAACAGTAAGCGAAAAACCTTTTTATTCATAAAATTATATGCACTTAATACAAACACAACTCACCTTTGATATAACTTGCTCAATCGAACGATCAATCAATTGATCGATCTTCACGAAAGATATACCTCCAAGCTGCTCGTCGTCGTCGTCTGGCAGGCGGGGCATTCGCTTACGAAATGCCTGCATTCTCTACACAAGCACAGGTGCCTGCAAGGCATGACGAGGATCGACGCCTCGTTTCCGTTGCACAATCTGCAGATCACATTATGTTTGCATTTCCGAGACCCAACTGCAGAGCTGCTGAGATAATTGTTTGGGTCGATGCAAGATTCCGCGTCGTCGACGTGACTATCTCCGACTCCTTCCCTTGCTCGGTTCGACTTCTGCTGCATTGCCTGCTGAAGGTTGGTTTTCAGAGCGGTGACCATCGATTCGTTGTGCTTTGCCATGTATGACCAGCTTTGTGCTTCGGCTGTTAAGTGCTTCACGCTCTCGACTAGTTCTTTGTTTCTTGACGTAACATTCTCCAATTCGACATTCTTTTCTTGCAGCTTTGTAAGGACGGTTTTCTCGAGATTTTTCAGGAGAGAAGCCGTGTGTCGCTGCTTTATCTCTCTCAGCCCTTTCGCCAAATTTTCAGCCTGTTAAGACTTCTAAACCAAGTTAGCAGCTCGATTAACCGGAAGAAAATAACAGCATGAGATCGAACTAACTTTCATTTTAATGCAGCATTGGTGAACAAAGAACTCAAAAAGCTCTTAGAAAGAGATAGTACCTGGGACCTAATAAAGCGATCGAATTCTTCTCTCTGCTGATCAAGTTCCTGCAAAGTTTCGTTCGTCAGAGAAGGAAAAACTGCCGATGTGAGGCTTCCGCTTGCAGAAGTGAGAGAGGAGTTTCTCCCATCATCATCGTCGTACGAGAGGCGTAAGCCAGTGCATACAGGATTCGGGTTCAAAAGGCCAGTTTTTCTGTCGATTTCATTGTTGAATGTCCTTTTATTTATGGAGAACTGGAGGTTCTTCTGTCTCAGAATAGCTTCAGCATCCCAAACTTGTTTATTTGGCAGGAGGGAATACGTCGAGGGGTGAGTATTTCCGCCATAATTCACTGGATCTGTGTGGAATTCTGCTGGCACTGCAACATAAATGTAGTATGATATATCGAATTAATAAAATTACATTAACAAAGCAACAGCATCTAATTCGATAATATCCAAACTCTTTGAGTTGGAAGAAAATCACGGAACTAAGATGTAACGGCATTGAGTATTAACTTCTAGATGGCAATAGTTCATTCAAACATTCGGCATAGATTGCACAACAGAGTAGTTAAGTTATCGTGTTTCCTAACAATTGTCTGAGAAAGTTGAGAAGTCATCGAAATTCACAATAGCCTGCATTAGTAAATCTTAGTGTTTGTTGGGTACACAAAAAGGAAGGGTTCAGAACAGAACTCGCATCGATCACAAAAGGATAAGAATATAAAAGAAACCAAGCCAGATTGGATAAATTTAAATCGTGATTTCACATTATAGTTTACGACCAGTTAATCCTTTGTTCATGTTACATCAACACATGATATTGTGTTTGCAACTTGCCGTAGGAATCAAAATGATCACATCTATCTTATTCACTGCAAGTACTTAAGATCATTTGAACCCAATCGTGCCTATGCACCAAGGACACAAAAGCGAGATAGATATTCATTGTTTAGAGCAAGTCAAAGATCCCGCGCCAAGAAAACTGAAAATTAAAGAGAACGAATGGAGAAAACACTAGCTAATATGTATGATGCACCGACAAAAATTAGTGAACTCACAGTTTCTGCATAACGGTGGTTGATTTGATACATCGGCTGTATATTGGAAACGAGGGTTGAGAAGATTAGCTGCAGCTGTAGTATTGCTGTTATTACCTCTTAATCTTCCAGCCATGGCCTAAAACTGGCAATTCCCGACTCCTCGCTCCTTTCTTTCTCAGTTTCTTACGATGAGCTAAGGAATCAACCAGAGTCTGTAGAAGAAATGCAATGGTCAACGACATCAAACGACACATATGAATCAGTGTCACAAGTGCCAGAAATCGGTAAATGCCATGGCCAGTTCAACACAAGAAAATCATTCCCAAGAGGAAAAGGATTAATGGTGCATAAGTTATCACTTTCCAAGAACATAAATGGATATGTTGATAACAATGCTCGGTTAACTACTTCGAGTATTCGACTTTAGAAACAATCACTCATAGTTCTACACTTGTACAGCATAAATTAAACTTTTTACAGATGCAGAAAACCAACTGATTTCGATTCTGTTTGTTCAATATGAACACAAATGCTTAGACCTATAGAAACAATACAAAACCAAAGTATCGAAGATGTTCAAACACAATAGCATATGAAAAAGTGTAACAAATTACGTCCACGGATCAGGAAGAACGGAGGCATCACAAATGAATTTAAATCCGAAGGAAATCATGAGCAGTTGATCCGTGGAGCAAGCAGAAAATCTTAAATCCAACTGCAAAACTAGAATGAAAATTGACTACACAATTCACCGATCGTTCATAAATTAGGGCTTCGATCGAGATGGAAAAACAACACCATGATCCGAAACAACACCAATCTCCAAACGCGAAACGCTACAAACAGTTGGTATTCAAAGGAGATGTAAACAAGTAAAAAGTTAGCACAGCACAAAAATCCAATCGTCCTCAAAACCGACAAATAAACACTCCTTGATCCTGCCGATCGCAATTACAACAACAAATGAATCAAAAACACGAAACAGGAACTCAACTGTTAGCTGATCTTCACCATTCCAATGGTCTGGTTTCGAACTCGAACCACACAAAAAAATAAAAACCACCGCACCTCCGGAAGAGCCGTCCGATCAGGCCATCCGATGCAATCGATCGCGACTCTGGGTTTTCTCAAAACTGCCGATTTGAAAAAGCGGATGGATGCAGATCAAGCGGATCGGTCAGAGCAATAATGGCGGTCAGGATTCCGTTGTGGGAAGGGAGGGGAGGCATCTGCTGCAACGAAATTAAAAGCACATTGAACAGAGCGAGCAAAAGGGAATCAAAATCAGCTGTTGGGATTTTGGAATGGCGACAGGGAAAGTTGGGAAGGGGCAGATTTCTGGAAACGCGCTCCTTCCTGTGATCAATATTCAATGCACATTCATTCAACTACGTATGATATGATTCTCTCTCTCTCTCTCTCTCTCTCTCGCAATCCAACCTTTCCCTTTTCTTTTTTCTTTTCTTTTTTCCACCATTTTTGTTTTTACTTCGATTTTTTTTCCCACCTGCGACTTCGTTTTCATTTTCTACTTTTGTGTGAATTGGCCGAAATGCCCTCGAATATCTTGTCGTCTTCTTCCTGTTTTTGGCTTTGTAAATGAATATAGATTATCCATTTTATGACTCAATAAAATAATTCTTAAAAAATAATAGGTTCGGTCCCGGGTTTATTCAATGCGTACTTTCGAGCAGCGACTACAAATTTTTATTTATAACAAAAAAATTCTTAAAAATAGTTGTAGAATATGTTTGTTCTTGAGATCGTTGGAAAAAAAAATATACAGTTTATCTTTCCATTCAATTTTTTTAGAAAAAAATTATATTTCAATTAAATACAGAAAAAATATAATTTATCCTTCCATTCAATATTGTTTTAAAAAGTTATATTTCAATTAAATACAATATAAATATTTTTTACTTGCATATTTGTATATATTTAAATAAAATATTGATATAGCTAAATTGGCATATAAAAAATAAATAAAAAAATTATTAATGTACAGAGGAAGTATATATTCTTCCTAATGTATTATGTCATAATTTTCTAATGTTAATTATGCTAATTAATTATTATAATATAAATTTATAATTATTTTTTATATATTAGAATTACTCCATTTTTATTAATCACAATTTCTGTGGCTACTCTAATACGAAAAAGTATTTTATTCACCAAATCCAAATATATATGTATTTTTATTATAGTTAAAATATTTATATATAAATATTAAATTTTTTTTTAATTGTTAGATAAATTATAAATATATTGTATATATCATTAATTAATACTCTATGTCCCATTGGAATTGAACTTTTTCATTAACGACACTGTATCTAAGATGAGAATGTTTAATTAGTTAATAATAATTAGTTATGATATAATTATATTATTTTTTGTATATTTAATAATATTTATAGTTTTAAAGTAAATTTAATATATATGATTTAAAAAATTAAAATATATGTTTAAATATTTAAAAATTATATAACAATTAAAAAATATGTGCAATATGAATCTCATTTGGAAGAGAATAAAATCTTCTATAATACAAATAAATAAATAAAATATATTTGTTTATTTATAATTAACATAAAGCAATTTTATAAAAGATGTATAGTTTTAAATATAGATAAAAAAATATATTTTTTTGAAGAGCGAAGTAGAAATAAAGGAGTTTTGAATGGGTCCTACGTCATTTATGATGTTGTATGTTATGTAGTTAATTAAATTGATTTATATTTGTTAAATATATTTTGGTTTAATAATTTTTATCAAAAATAAAAACGTGTCAATTGTTACGGGACAGACAAAAATAGAAATAGTGTCAATTGTGATTGGACGGAGGGACTATATAAGATAGAAAATGCAAAAACATTGTTAAAATATTTTTACACACATAAAATAATTATTACAATCAAATTTATTTTCATTTTTTAATCTGTTCATTAAATTTAATTATTTATTAATTTTAGCAAAAGACAAAAAATAATATTTTAACTGTTATTACTAACTATCATGTATTTACTACTATAACTTATCATTCTTACTGTTTGAATATAAATATGCTAACACATGCTTTTCGTATTATTACACAGAATTTATATAAATATCCTTAACTTTATTTTATTTTTCTATTCTTATCGATAAATATTTAGTTTTTTTAATCTATTGGATGGGGTCAAATAAAATAATTTGTAAAAGAATGTACTTTCTTGTCCCATAATAAATTATTTATTTTTTTATTTTAGTCTATTTCATAACGAAATATTTATTTCATTTTTTAATAATTGTACTATATATCTAACGTTACAAATACCATTGCAACTTACAATATATTATACAAATATCATTACTTTTATATCACACAATATTAATAAGGTTATTTTAGTAATTTCTACTTTATTCCTACTAAATCTCAATATAATATTAATATTTCTAAAACTCCGTGCAAAAAGCAAACACATACCTAATTATAGGGTTGAGCAAAATATCCGAAATCCGAAAATCCGTCCAAACCAAACCGAAATTTAAAATTTGGTTTGGATTTTTCGCATTTTTAGATTGGTTCGGATTGAATTTTTTTGACAAATTTCAAATTTTTTGATCGGAGCGGATCGGTATACTTAAAATCCGAACCAATCCGTAATCCGAAATATAACATTTTAATATATTTTTTATTATATATATTTAATATTTTATTAAAAAATATTATATTTTAATATAAAAAACTCAAAATTATTAATTATATTTTAATATATTTACTTTTATATATTATATATATTTAATATTATAAAATAATAATAAAATATTAAAAAAATTACAAATTTAAAAAATAATTAAAAGTATTTAGAATTTTGGATTTTTCGGTTTGGTTCGGATTTTTTAATTCGAATTTTAAATTTTCGGATTTTGTATTTTGATTATTTCGGTTCAGTTCAGATTGATTTTTTCAAAAATTTCAAATTTTTGAATCAATTCGAATTTGGCAAAATTAGAACAAAAAATCGAACCGAAAATTCTAATGATCACCCTATCTAATTATGGGACGGATGCGGGAGTATTATAATTTTGAGAAATCAGAACAGAATACAACAAAGAAAATACATTTATCTTGGGCAGGATATTTTGGTAAAACTGCATCGAGAAAGTGGGTCCCACTATAGCCCGGCCGGTTGGGCCCAACCGGTTTAGGTTTGGTTGGACCAGTGAATTTTGGCGGGTAAAGTGATGGACCGCTGGTCCAGACCAGGGGTGCCCTTTTTCTTTCTTGTATTAGGAACTTCAAAGATTAAAGAGAATCTATAATTAATTATGCGTAAGTACAAAATAATATGAATATATAATAAAAGAAAATTGATTATTTTTTATGAATAAAAAATATTTAAAACGTGATTTTTTTATAACATAAACTAAACAATAATTTGTATAATAATAATATATCTATGGTGTAGTTAGAGATGAGAAAATAATTACAACTATAATATCAATGTCGTTAAACAATTATTTTATAATGAATAGTCTCGTAGAATATAATGAATTTGTGAACGTGGGATTATAAATTTAAACTTCGATGTTTTCGAATTTTATTTGTACAATCGAAATTTACCAAAAATACATTCGAAAAATAGCGGTTATAAAACAACTTTTGACCCTTGCCACACGCGCTAATTTTAAAAAATCAACCAACTTAGTAATAGTATAATATTATCTGTTTTAGGCTGAACTCGTAAAAATTTATTTTTAAACTTTTTTTCAAAAGATTTCGTATTAATTGAGTTATATATATGAAATTTATAAAGTGTAAATACTTATTTAGATGATACATTAAATACATAGAGAGGTTTAAGTCAAATTCGTAGCTCGAATGACGATAAAAAAAAATTGAATGTACAACAGTGACGGAATCAATACTCGAATTCTTGGGAGGAAGGTGACCCCGAATTTATTATTACCGATCCGACGCCAACTTTATTTTTGGTCTTTTTAGTACAATAGCCGCGGGTACAAGGAAAAAAATAAAAATAAAATAGGATGATAAATTAATAATTAGAGAACAATTTTTAGCATAATTATATTAAAAAAATACATTATTTTTTTTATATTTAAAAAATAAAAAAATTTAGAGGCAAATAGGGTCGCCTTTGCCCCAAGGTAGGTCCACTGTGGGTGTCTTTAAAATAGATGATAAATTAAGGGATAATCTGGTGGTGTAGGGCTTGGACGTATGACCGTGAAGTTATAGAGTCAAACCCCGACGTCTCAGGTCACTTACTACACATGGTTCGTCTAGTGTGATTTTTCCGTCGGACCCGGTTTGCAGGGTATTACGTTTGATTGGAGGTTTACTCAGTACGTACTTTCGAGTAGCGGCTGAGAAATATTATGAATTTTAAAATGGAGTGGATATAAAAAAAAATTGTATAGAGAATATAAAAATAATGAAGAGTAAAAAATAGAAAAACACATACAGTACGACCTAGTATAAAAATAATTTGAAACATAAACAAAAATACTATAAAGTAATAGTAAAAATTAGTATGGCTTTACAGCAAATCTATTTTCTTATCATATATAAATAAAAATATTTATTATAAGAATAGTGTATTTGACTATTAATTCAATTTAAATTTTATTAACACGGTTTTCAATATATAATACATAAATATATTATATTTTCACAAAAAATTCCTAATATTTAATATAAAATATTAATTTTTATATCAAATTACTTTAAACTAAAATACTGAAAAAAAAAAAAAACGAACATATTACATAGTGTTTTAAAAAATAATTATGAATTAAAGATGGCAACAAAGGGCTAAAGGAAATTAGAAGACTTTGGATTTGAAAACTTGTAGTATAAAAAAGCATTAAACAAATCCCTTTTTGGCGGTGTCTTCTTGGCTTCTCCATTTTCCACTTTATTTTGATTTATTCGATTTGTTGAACAATCAAACCATGACCTTAGATTTCTCCCTTTATTGGTCATTACTTTTTATAACCCCCATTTTTTTTTTTTTTTAACACAAATTCCTCCCACGAATCTTTCAACTATCAAATTACACTTTTGGATAATATTCTTTTTGGTTAATTTGAAAATCAAATATTAAACAATATTAAATTACTGGAAATTAAATATTTTTTCTATTATCAAAATTGAATTTCGGTAAGTGAAAAATAGATAAATAAATGAGATAATTGATGACATATTAGTATTTACATCACATTATAATTTGCCAATATGAGGTCCGAGTTTTTGAATTAGATGTTAAACGAGACAGTAAGCTTATGATTCGATAGAAAAAATCTAAAAGATATACTCTATCCATATTGAATTGATAAAATTTACCATATAAAAAATTTCCTTATTTAAGTTGCTACCTTAACTAAAAATTTTCTTATCCATATTCTTAATTATGGTATGTTTTT